GTATATAAATTAGTAAAGTCTTTATTTGAGACCACTCTTTGGACATTAGCAAAGTCAGGCTCTTGCTATTAAAAGAGTTTTAGAAAACATGTAAACAGGTAAATGCTATTGTAGGGTACACATGCTTATAAAAGGTCACATTTAGCCTCACACTAAGTAGGAAAGCACTTCACTGCTGAGCTGTATCTCCAGTTCTTTTTACCTTTAGATAGGACCTTAGTACATTTCTAGGCTGCCCTTGAAGTTACTTTGTGGCCCAGGCAAGCTTTGAACCTGCCATCTTTCTGCCTTCACGTCCTGATTAGAGAGATTATATACCTGAACCACCATTAATTGTCTCACACACACACACACACACACACACACATACATACATACACACACACACACACACACACACACACATATATACACACACACACACACCATGTACTTTTGATCATACCTACTTGTCATATCACCCCAACATGTTCTCCACTTTTTGTTTTTTTTTTTGAGATAGGGTCTTACTATGTCTGGCCTGGAACACTATGTAGTCCAGACTGGTCTTAAATTTGTGGCAGTCCACTTGCCTTAGCCTCTTGACTGCTGGGATTATACTTTTACACCACATCTAGCTTGTTTTGAGACAATCTAACTGGCCTCAGACTCCTATCTTCCTTTGTCAACATTGTGAGTTTTAGAATTACAGGTATGTGTAATCATGTCTTGCAGTTTGAGTTTTGCAATTTATTTAGGTTTTTATAACTGCCTTTCAGAATTGTTACTAAAAGAATAGAACCTCAGAGAAATTAAGTAGCTGTTCCTGAGTTGTTATGTGGTAGAACCAGGGTTTGCTCCTCCTTGTGAGCATTGAAAGCCAGGGCTTTAACCACTGCCACATCCATGTGCCACCTCTTGCCCTCTGTGTAGCCAGTAGACTTGTCAGTTTGCTGGCTGCTTTTAGTTAGCTTTTATTGAGTGCTTACTAGTGGTGAGGCTCTAGAGATCATTCATTACTCAGTATACCATTTCAGTTTCTTGTGTGTTGTAATGGCACACATGGTGGACTGCTCTACAAGGAGAATATCTTAGCATACACCTGCTATTAGATTTTGTGAACTCATTTTCTAGAAACTTTCAGATGGAGGGATTCCATCTTCAGATCATAGGATAATGTAGTAAGATACAAATACTGAAATTTGTATCTAATAGTGATATACTACCTTCATGCAAGCAGCAAATAGCTGTTAGGTTGGAAAGACATTCTGAGACTCTACCAGTCAGGGAAACACATCTCTGGAGATTTCTGGTGTAGATCAAATAATGCAAAGCAGCAGCCTGTTACCTCTTCCCCTCAATCCTGTAAAGTATCAGTGAGGAGCTGAACTGTCTAGAAAGCTTTCCTAAAAATGTAGTTGAAGGTTCTTCTGCTAAGTATCCTTTTTAATATGATTATGAGGTTTGTTACAAGTAGTTTTTTGCTAACAGTGAAAAATACAAACAATTATGAATTTATCCTAAGTTTAGTTGAGGATATAGATCATTTCGTAGAATGCTTGCCTTGTATGTGTGAGGTTCTGGGTTTAACCCTCAGCAAAAATAAAAGTTTGATGGGATTAAAGTTCATCTCTGTATGTTGATCTGTATCTGAGAATATTTTTAAAAATACCTTTTTATTTTTAATTATGTGCGTGTGTGTCTTGAGTGTGTTTGTAAAGTGTCTGTAGAGGCCAGAAGAGGGTGTCAGGTCCCCAGGAGCTAGAGTTATGGTACTTGTAAGTCACCCAAAATGGATGTTTTACTCTGAATTCAGTTCTTACCAAGAGCAGCATGTGCTCTTAGTTGCTGGGCCATCTCTCTAGCCCCTGGAAGGCTTTTTAGCATAGAAAAAGCTTCATGAGTATACTCTGGCATGTGACTCTTCCTATGGGTTATAGTTGTCCATGTGTTATCAGCCTTTACTTGATGAAAGAACACAGTTGAGGACCCCACTCTTAGAGACTCCTGGTACCTTGCTTATTAAGATAGGAAGTAAAAACATAAGATGGAAGTGCAGTTTCTCTGACAGTTCAAGTATAGGCTCTACTAAGAAATCAACCCTTTTACTCCCCATCTTCCATCCATCAGGTATTCTTTAGTAGTAGAGAACTGCCACCACAGATGCAAAGCTGTATAAGACATAAACCAGCTAATGGAGTTACTTGATCTTGTTTTACGAATATCACTGTTGTGAAGTCTTGGAATAATCCCTAGGTCCGTAGGCCCTGGGGAAGCATGGGCAGAAACAAGGTGAAATACGGAAGGCAATGGTTGATTAAAGTTTTGTTCTCTAGAATTGCTGATGTATTTTATTTTTCTCTGTCCTTATCTTATACTCTCCAAGCAGCATACATTTTCATCTTTTATTTATTTATTTATTAATAGATTTTTTTTTCAATTTTATGTGTTTTGCCTGTATGTATGTATGTATACTACCTACAGTCCTGGTGCCTGCAGGAGTGAGAAGAGGGCATTGGATCCCTGGAACTAGAGTTAGAGATGGTTGTCAACTACCATGTGGGTATTGGGAATTGAACTCTGGAAGGGGGAGCAAATGCTCTTAATTACTCTCCAGGCCTCTCCAGCCCCACCAGCATACATTTTTAGAAGCAGATGATCTGCTTAGATTTTTAAATAGTCAGTACACAATTGAAACACAGATTCTTGTTTGCTGTTTTGTTTTGTTTTTTTTTTGAGATAGGGTTTCTCTTTGTAGCCTTGGCTGCCATGGAATACCAGGCTGGCCTCAGCCTCCTGAGTGTTGGTATTAAAGGCATGTGCCACCACCCCCTGGTTGGTACAGATTCTTGTAACTAGATCTTCTGTTTTTCAGTTGCTATGGTAACTAGTGCTATAGGGATGTGGAGACCCTATTGTGACCTCTAGTGTAGATCCCCCCCAGAACCTCTTTCTTGATTGTCCACCAAGGCCTGAAAGGTCTGGTTGCGTCTCTCCAGGCACTGTTGGGGTGTGCCACCTCCCCTTTGGAACCACCTGGGTTGCCCTCTTACAAAAGCAGGCCTTAACAAAGAAGCAGTCATTTTGGATTGCATAACCTAAATGAGTCAAGGTAGGTGTTTGAGGAACAGGAAGTAGCAGCAGCTCTCAATTTTTGTGTATGTGAATATGTTCAAGTGGAGGCCACCAAAGGTCAACATTGAGGATTTTGTTTATCCCTTCTCCGCCTTTGTTTGTTTTCCTTTTTTTTTTTTTTTTTTTTTTTTTTTTGAGGCTGTCCTGGAACTCACTCTGTAGACCAGGCTAGCCTCAAAATCACAGGTCTGCCTGCCTCTTAATATCATCCTACATGGCCACTCCCTTGAGGAATGGTGACTAGGCAACAAAAATGGATGCAGGTTGTTTCCCCTAGCAGTAGCCTATATGTTGGTTGAATATGATAACTCAGCCTTCCCTGGAAGGAAGCTATCAGACATCTTGAGGACTCGGTAATCTTCAAAGGGAAATAAGTGAATTGTACTTGGAGTTTAGAAAACTGTTGAAGTGACAGCAAGCTATTAGTATTATTTTCTTTTAAAAAATACATATTGTAAAAATAAATTCTTAATGTAAGCTGGGCAGCTGTGGTGGTGCATCTAACCCTGAGCTACATTCCTAACTCAAAGGCTATTCTTATAATAACCTAATTCTCTGGATTGTAGAAAATGCTTACTAAAGGAGTACTAATTGAGGTAGAAAATTAAGTTTTCCTTTTCCTTGGCCCAATTAGGATAGATATGGCTCTAGAGTTGGAATTTCTGTCTTTATGGGTGACTTTCTTAGTTGCCTTGAAGTAGGCAATGGGAGTTGATAGCTAGCTTTTTATTTCATGCAGCCCAGCAGAGTACAGAATAGGCTGGGGACAGTTTGTATGGTGACTCACTTGAAGGTGTCTCAGGCTTGTTGAGCCATTGTGTTCTACAGTGGAAATGTTGGGCACAGCCTGGCTTAACTAAACTCTAGCCAACACTGCTTCTATTCCTTTCACGTGGCAGCCCACAGGTAGGACTGTACAGTAAAATGGAAAGCCTTATATCGCTTAATGAGAGTTCCTGCAGCTTTTTAAATAATGTAGCTTTTATTAGTGGTTTTTTGTGTATAATTTCAGACATGCAGAGGAAAACACACACACACAGAGTAAGACTAATGCAAAGAACTTTTGTAGCCCAGTGGTGGTGGGCTTTAATCCCAACACTCAGGAGCCAGAAGGCGGCTGATAGATCTTGGAACTGGATGCAGGCCTGGTCTGTTGGGGACCATCACCATCCTCACAACCTCAGGTCTCTGAGATAGGAAATTACTGCCTCTTAAAAAATAATCAGAATGTTTAGCAGAGCATTTTGAGATACAGGCTTGCAGTTTTATAGCCAGTTATAGATTAGCTAAACAATTCAAGGCATTCCTTCTACTGACCTTCTCAATCTGCCTATGTGCAAACCCCGCTCACATCCTATGGTCCTCCCCTGAGAAAATAAATTGGTCAGCTTGATCAGAGTACTGTCTTGCTATCTTGTTCTTTGTATCCCTTGTCCCCCATTCTCTCCTAGGTATCCCCAATTCCTCATTGACTGCCCCACGGGTTGGGGCACTCACTAGTCTACGAAGCAAGTTCCAGGACAGCCAGAACTGTTATACAGAGAAACCTTGTCAGGAAACAAACAAAAATAAATAAAATTAACTTTTGTATACCTTTTACCCAGACTGTCAGCATTTTACCTCGTTTACTTTCTTCACACATTCTTCTGAAGTGCTGAGAGTAATCGAGGACAGCTTGCCATTTACTTCTGAATGTCAATGTGTATTGCCTAAGAACAAATTCAGCCTCATAATTCTGTTACCTAGCCCACTGTCCATCTTCAGGTATGTCCATATTCTGAAATGGTTTCAGTAATGGCAGAGCTTTGTTATGAAAAAGTCTTGAGGTACAGGGGTGTCACCTGAGTTATGTTGGCTTAAAAACATTATTCAGTTACCAGATAACTCCTTGTGTCTCTACAGGACCAGAGTGAGGGCAGCAGGAACTACTCAGCAACAATGTCTTCAGAAGTGGAGACCTCGGAGGGGGTAGATGAGTCAGAGAAAAAGAACTCCGTGGCCCCAGAGAAGGAAAACCATACCAAGTGAGTGATAGCAACTGGCTGATTCTCATTAGGAGGGTCCAGCACCTGATCTACCACCTGTCCGCATGCCCAGTTCAGTCTGCCAGTGGCACTTGGGAATGCCCATCAGCCTTGAGCTGTGTAGAGCCTGGGATGTTTGGTTGGCACTGCAGGGCCCTGTCCAGTCTGGGCTGTTCCACTCTCTGGTTTTCTATGTCCTGTTAGTGTTAGGGGTGCTGAGTCAGGGTTTCATGGTAGTCATTTTTTCTCTTCTTAAAAACCAAGTAGTACTGGCATGGTGGTGTGCACCTTTGACATATTTCTGAGTTGGAGGCCAGCCTGGTCTACAGAGCAAGCCAGTACAACCAGGGCTATATAGACAAACCTGTTCTTGAAAAAGACAAAAACGCAAAAAACCAAACCTAAGTGATTTTTCACCTTGGCTAATGAGGAACAATAATGAAAGGCAAAGCTGGTTCCTTTTACCTACCAAATGTGGAATCTTAACTCTGCTCTAGGGCAGGCCTTTACTTGCTACTTTCTCTAGGGCTCAGATTACTGGGCCCTGCTCTATATTTTTCTTAGCCTCTCATTAGAGTCCTGTCATTGGCTAGGTTATTTCTTATATATCTTAAAATAATTACTAATATACAAATTAACAGAATGTGGGTGAAATCTAAAATCAATCAAAGAAACAACTGCAGAAGGTAGGCCACAAGAGAACCAACATTTTCTCATTCTAACAGATGGGCTGTGTGGATACACAGTAGTTTTCCCTAGGTTCCATTGTCCTGAGGATCACACTTTTCTGCCTTGTCAATTTATTGATGTAACTTTATCCTGTGTGATTATGTTAAGAAATATAAAACTGGGAGGCAGAGGTAGGCAGATCTCTGAGTTTGAGTTCTACAGAGTGAGTTCTAAAACAGCCAGGGCTACACAGACAAACCGTGTCTTGGAAAAACCAAAAAAAGAGGAGGAGGAGAAAAGAAAGAATACAAAGCCAAGATCATGGTCCTTGTCTTTTCACGGTCTCATTTTCCACATCTGGGCCCATCCACATAACATCCTGAGGAATTGGACCCTCATTGGGAAGAATGCTGCTTTTTGGGCTGGATTAGTTTTGTTTCTTCAGCCACTAGGTGGCCACAGAAACCAAAACATCATGTATTTGGGTGCTTACTAACATACTATATATGTGTGTGTATGTATGTTAGTGTATATATGTAAATACACACACATCTCTGGATCCAGTTGGGGAAACCATAATAATCTTCATGCTCCCCTGAATTTTTGTGGCAGATTGTCACAATCTGCCTGCCCTGTGCTGACAAGACTCACCTGTTCATGCTGGACTAGTGTCTGAGCAGCTCCAGCTTTCAGTCTGTATCTGAGGTCTAAACTGTCTTTTGCCCTTTAATCCTTTTTGGAGAACTGGAAAAGGCTATTGTCTCACACATAACTCATCTCCACAGAATGGCAGACCTCTCCGAGCTCCTAAAGGAAGGGACCAAGGAAGCACATGACCGGGCAGAAAATACCCAGTTTGTCAAAGACTTCTTGAAAGGAAACATTAAGAAGGAGCTATTTAAGGTTTGTGCCCTCAGTCAGATGGGGTTGGAGTCTAAACTTTAATAGGGGTTGGGAGGTGGAGTGGCCTTGTTGGCTGAGGAAGTTGCTCTACAACCACTCTAAGGGAGAAGCTGCTGGGTATTTTTCTTGGAGATGATCTGGCTACATGGACCAGATGGGCTCTAACCCTGAATCCTGGGAGTGAAAAGTATGTGTCCATGCCCAGACATAAATTTTTATTTCCTGGTGTTAATCATGGCTGCCCTAGCCTAAATGAATTAACAAAAATGTTTGTAAATATTCACAGTCTTAAGTTACAGAAGCTTCCTAGGTGTGTTAAGTAGTTTACTATATAAAAAAGGGATCACGGGGTCTTTCGAACTGGAAAAAGTGGCTTTTGTCTTGAGCTACTCTTAAAACAATGTGGAAAAAAGAAAAAAGCTGGGTAGTGGTGGCAGCACACATCTTCAGTCCCAGCACTGGGGAGACAGACAGAGGCAGGCAGATAGATCTCTTGTGAGTTCGAGGCCAGCTTGGTCTAGGGCAGCCAGGACAACAAAGAGAAATAATGTCTTTGAAAAACCAAAACATTAACACGGTGGGTTCTAGAGCTGCTGGCTTGGCTTATAATCCTCTCCCACAATCTTCCATCACCCTCACAGCTGGCCACTACCGCACTTTATTTCACATACTCAGCCCTTGAGGAGGAAATGGACCGAAACAAAGACCACCCAGCCTTTGCTCCCTTGTATTTCCCCACGGAGCTACACCGGAAGGAAGCACTGATCAAGGACATGGATTATTTCTTTGGTGAAAACTGGGAGGAGCAAGTGAAGTGCTCCGAGGCTGCCCAGAAGTATGTGGATCGGATCCGCTATGTAGGGCAGAATGAACCAGAGCTGCTGGTGGCCCATGCTTATACTCGTTACATGGGGGACCTTTCAGGAGGCCAGGTGCTGAAGAAGGTGGCCCAGCGGGCACTGAAACTCCCCAGCACTGGGGAAGGGACCCAGTTCTACCTGTTTGAGCATGTGGACAATGCCCAGCAGTTCAAGCAGTTCTACAGAGCCAGAATGAATGCCCTGGACCTGAATTTGAAGACCAAAGAGAGGATCGTGGAGGAGGCCAACAAAGCCTTTGAATATAATATGCAGGTACTGGGTACTGACCATGGGTGCATGATCTTTTAGCAGTAGAATCAAAGCCAGCTTTCTTGAGAGGCCATTAGTAGCATGACAGATGAGCTCCTATATGCCCTAGAGAAAAATGAGGGATCATCAGTTAGCCATCAGAGAACACGGGGCCAGTGTGTAGCTCCCAGATAGGCCTGGTTTGAGGCTGATGGCTAGTACTGGAAAGAGCAAAGCTCTAGCATTTGAGAGGTCTGAAAATAGAGCTCTCTCTCTCACTATGGGATTGCTAGGATTGATGAATGGGTAATTTCCTCATTTTGTAGCAAAGATAGGAAAATAGTATGGAGCCAGACTCATTGAAAAGTAGAGTACATTTTGTAAGCCATTTTTGATCCTAGAACCCCTTATCAGCCCTTAGTGTTAGAACAGCAGTGGGCATTCAAGTGGAGCTGTCAGGAGCAGTCAGTTGAACTCCCACCAAGACCTGGTTTGTTCAGCTGGTTCTGATCAGGTGTATCTGGGCTCTAGCTTCTCTATGGGTGATGAGTAGGTTGCAAATTCTGAGTCTGCGTAGTTCAGGGATAGCTCAGTTGATTTCTGCTCCCCAGATATTCAGTGAACTGGACCAGGCTGGCTCCATGCTGGCAAGAGAAAACCTGGAGGACGGGCTCCCCATGCACGATGGGAAGGGGGATATACGTAAATGCCCCTTTTATGCTGCTCAGCCAGATAAAGGTAGGTTGTGGGTCCTGAGCTAACATTTCTGGAGTGGGTGTATCATTGCCCTCCATTGATGCCATTGTCTCCTGTTGTGCTGCATGCAGGTACGCTGGAAGGCAGCAACTGCCCCTTCCGGACAGCCATGGCTGTGCTGAGGAAGCCTAGCCTTCAGCTCATCTTAGCTGCCAGTGTGGCCCTGGCTGCTGGACTCTTGGCCTGGTACTACATGTGAAGGACCTGTCATGTCATTTGCATCCTACCCCAAGTGACCTATTCCATCCCTATCTCCACCTCTGACTAAACTACCACCTCAGGTGACTTTTTAAATGCTGGGTTTGAGAAAACAAGCAACCAATAAAAGCCAGACACTAGAGCCTCTGTGTAACAGCATCTTCTCTGCCAGCCAGGTACACACCAGGCACAGGCTGTTACTCTAGTAACAGCCAGTACTCCACTGCTAGTCAGCCTTGAGAAGTCTGATCTGGCAGTGTTCCAGGAGTTTTGCCACTTTGGAGGCCTGGATATATGCTTTTTTTTCCTTAATAGTCTTAATAGTCATTGCCTTGCTTGGAGTGGGCTGTCCATACACCCAGGCTTTATGGGAAAGGGTCATGCCAACCAATGTTCAATTTTCTAGGCCTCGGAGTCTTTTGGGGTAGAAGCTATGCTTTTCAGTCTTCAAGCCCAGAGTTTATCCTGCTCAGTTGGGATTCCCCTAAGACATCTGTTAGCCTAGGCTGTCTCCACTGATGTATATACCTGCTACAGTACTCTAAAAACAGACACCTCATATTTCCTCCTCCCTGGGATAGGGCAGGTGAGACTACCTCTGTAGAGATCCTCAGAATTAGTGGCATGTTACATACATCCTCTTTTGATGACAACCCTCACCTGCCTCCCAACACTCCTGGCCAATTCCTAGTACCTTATTTTTCCATGTATTCATGCTAAGCATTATAAAGATCCTTAATGTGTACTTGAACCTGTGATTTTTCTTAGAAATACTTTGAGGTTAAAAAGCACATATTGATATTTAAACAATTCATGGTCTAAAATAGAAATGTGAGGTTAAATATTTTTATTAGTAGGAATCTATTCCTGTAAAAGTTTTGTGTGGGGGGGAAAAAAATGGTAAAACAGAGAAGAGAAACTCTTGAAAGGTGAGCCCACAACCTTCACAGTTGAGATGGTTGGTTTTACCAAGGCCAACATGGTTCACAGCCTGAGTGCCAGACTTCAGTGTTTATCTTCAGACTGTAAAGTCTCAGTCCAGTAGTGCTATCTTGTTTAAGGGCAGAAGAACACCACCTTCAGGTTAAGAGGAAACTAAGTTAGGACAGGCTCCAGTTCTCAGGCTCTGCAGCTTGGACACCTAATTATGTAAATGGTGGAAACCAATGCTGAAACAAAAAGCTCTCTGGCCCAGAACAGCTAGGTTCCCCCTAGGGCAAGTCTATGTATAATTCTGATTTTGTGTAATTGGGTTCTTAAACATGCATTGTTTCCCAGGCCCAATCTCTTGCTTACTAAGTATACTACCTGTAATCCCACCCTGTCCCTCAGAAAAGAAGGAAGCCAGGCAAGACAGCAGAGGCGGCCCAGGACAAGAGAGTGAAAGGGCCAATTTAATGAAACTATAAACTGGGACCAGGCCAAAGTTCACAGTGATAGGAGGCCATGCAGTGGTGTGAGACCAGGAGAGGGACAGCAGCAGGACTCAGCGTCCACATGGGCATATTCACAGACCATTCAGGAAATAGAGACAGTTTGGGTTTACACCCTGGCTAGGCAAGAGTCGTGTCCCTAGGATACCCCCACTACTTGTGACTTCTTCCTAGTCCCCAACCTAGTGCCACAGTTCTCCCTACTGAAGTGCCCCAATGTGGAAGCATGTCAACTATGGCAAAAAGACTGGCACTTATTTCAGAGACCGATGAACCTTACAAGGAGGCTCTTCTGATCTGCCACTGTCAGTAAGTTACCAGGCAGAAGTTACACCCATATATAGCACAGTTACAAAAGTAGATAGACAGGTCAAGGTCATGGGCATTAATTCCTTCTGGCCCCCAAAAATACAGAGGTTCACAGAGATGTGGCCAGAAAGGAAATCTGCACATTGACTCAAAGGAAGCTGGGTGAGAAAAGGGGCAAGTTCTTCTTGGCTACCAGGGCTTTTAGCCCAGTGTCCTCTTTGCCTTATACCAGGCAGCTCTTAGATACCTCCTGGACAGTGGGTAGAAGTCCTGGGTTTCCATACCTGAGAGTTCTGAGGCCCAGAGTCGGCAGTCATTATTTCTTTCTTACTCCACCTTTGGCACCCCAGACTAGACAATATACTCCACATAAACTCAGGCCTTAAGACCCAGTCTTGCTTGGGTCCACTTAACTCTAGATGAGGATTCCTTCTGACCTATTTCCAGCAGGTCAGACACAACTGTGGTTCCAGGCACTCCCTCACTGTAGGCCCTAGTCTAGGACCTGTTGATGCTCTGGGCACTTTTGGTCCCAGAAAGAATAAGGACCATGCCTGGACCCTTATACAGAAAGGAGGGAGGACCCCAGTAAGAAACCCTCTCCAGCTTATCTTCTGGATTGCAAATGCCCAAGCATCACACAAGGTCAGTTTCACCCCATGCCACCCACTGGCCCTTGGCCTTAAATCCAACGGAATTTTTGCTGGAAGTAGGATACTCAGGGAAGGGCAAGGTGAGGACAGGATTTTTAGGGGACAGTGGCAAAACTTCCAACCCTGACTAAGAGCTGGAGGGTAGTGACCACTGAGCATGGGGAGCAAAGCACATGGGGCCAGACTGATAGGTGGGGAGTCCAAGTGTAGCTCTGTTAGCACAAGCGCTTGTATGTGTAGATGTAGGCTTTGCAGCTGGGACACGTGTGCGTCACATCCTTGAAGTCATTGATGAGGCAGGGGATCAAGCAGCACCCCAGATCACACCTGAATTGAAGACAGAGATAGGCTAAGGCCTGAAGAAAAGGTCAGGCAGCATACAGAGCCCCAACAGTACCACCACTTGTCGGTACCCCACACCTACCCCATGAAGCAGCAGAAGAAACCCAGCACGAAGTTCATCAGGCCAATCTCATAGGAGATCTTGGTGGTGATCGCCTGCTGGCAGTGGGGACACACTGTCTGCACAGGTGCACCTTCAAAGATCTCTCCCTGTAGCACTGTCACCGTGGTGGCTGCCCCTGATGGGACCAAGACTGTGGCCGTGTGGCCCCCAGCACCAGGATAAGGCCCTGGTGGGTAGGGTCCTGGTGGATAATAGCCCATAGGTGGATGAGGGCCTGGAGGAGGGTAAAAACCTGGAACAACATACGAGAGAGGTCACTGGTGGCTGATTGGCTGAGAGAACACAAAACATAGGATCCCAGCACTTAGGTCACAGCCCATTGCCTCTTGCCACCTTCCCCAAGAGGGCCAAAGTGTCAGTAGTAACAGGCCTTGGCTCAAAGTGACCATTTATAATAAACCAGGTCTTTTGATCTCTACCACACCGAGACCAAGACAGATGTGGCAGAGCGCTGGAAGGATAACCGGTCTCCACCTAACTTCCTTGTCTCTAACATGCCAAGACTGTTCTTCCATTCCTGCAGGGATGAGGGCTTTAGCAGCAAGAGGGAAAGTGCCACACATCTCCTGTATACAAAGCTTTTGCATATCAATGTCTGATATGCCAAAGATCATCCAACCCAAACCCAGACAGGAACCACAGATTTTGGGCCTGAATGATACTGGTTAAGTAAAGGCCCAGTTCTCCTTTGGGGGCTCATGTCTCTGACAGGAATACAGTCCTTCAGTGGGTGACAAGCCCTTCCTTTGCCACCATTTTCAATTCGTATAGCATGACTGATGCCTTTCCACACTGAACTCAGGATGGTAGCTGCCTCTGCTTCCTTCAGGTCTCTTTCCCAACTCACCTGCAGGCATATAGGCGCCATCTGCACTCATGTGAGGGGGCACAAAACCAGGCTGAGACACTGGATGACCAGGTGGCTCATAAGGTGGGGGAGCAATGTCAGCAGAGGGCAGTGGCATTCCAGGTGGCGGCTGCATCACTGCTGGGGAGGTGCGGCCTGGATAGAGAGGGGCAAAAAGAAGACAGCTAAGCTGGTCTGTACACACAAGCTGGGCCCAGGGTGACCCTGAAGCAGGATTAGTTCACTGTGAAAAGCCTCAACCACACTTGTGATAGAAAGAGAGTTGCCACAGGGACCCCAGAAGGCTCAGGTCAGGAAAGACCCTCATGACGAGCCAATGGCATAACGTACTGGCCTAGCAATCCCATCTAGGGACCTTACCCAGACCTCTACTAAGGCAATTTGACATCCTTACCCGGGGTAGGTGGGGCTCCACTTTTTTCCTCTAGTAGCGGGGCTGTAGGACCTCCAGGATAAGGAGGGGGTGGCTCATTAGACATCTTTGCTGCAGATACTCCTGGACCTGGAGGAAAACCAAGTTCAGCTCCTCGTTCCTAGGCAAGGCCAACATACTAGGTTGCGACCATCTTCAGATGCCCACTAAGTGCAAGCACCTAAGTGTTTCCTCTGGCTCCTCTCAGGGATTCTCTGGTTCAAGCTAGGTACCTGAGCTCTACCATCTTTTCTTTTCCTCAAAAGGAAATCTAACTGTTTAGAGGATGAAAGTTGGTAGCTAGGTCCAATACCCTTGGGATCTGTCAGGGCCAACCCACCAGAGTTACCATTCTATTTGGAAGCTGGTGGGTAAGGACAGAACTCTGAGGAAAAGGCCCAGCAATCCTCTCCGGGAACCTAACCCCCACATCTACCCAGGGAAGCTTGGCACCCAGTCTTCCAACTCTTAACTGAGCCATTGAGGGGCAGACTTCTACTGCAGGCTGCTGCAGCCATTTGGAAAAGTCTATTTCTTACCTCAGATTCCTTGTGCACAGAGAATGAAAGCACGTGAGAATATTTCAGATACTGGCTGAGACAGGGATCCAGGAGGCTATTTCAGGGAAAGAGAGACAGTAACACCTTTAACCATAGGCTTCCAGGTAAGCTACTCTCCATGCTTACTCAAAGCTTAACCACTCCTCCCCACCCTTTTTTTTCCCCAAGTGGCACAGCTGCTGGATCCTCTGGTGCCCACCATTCTCAATCCCTATATATCCAATTCCTATGATTGAAAGACTACAAAAGGAAGTCAGTTGTGAGTTATGTGTCTGGCACTGGTTTGCCCCCTTCTGTTTTGCTTGGGAGATAAGAAAAATTAAGAGTCAGTCAAAGGAAACATTGCTTTATTCCATCAAATATCCTGAGTACTTGCTGCAAGACACTGGTGGAGAAGCAGATGCCCTTACAGTAAGTCAAGCACACAGACAGAGGTACCAAATTTGCCAAGAGTGAGAGATCCTGGGGTTCATGATTCTTTTTGTCAATACTCTCCAACTTCACTTTTTTCCTCTTTGAAATAGTCTCACTGTACAGTCCAGTCTAGCTCCAACTCTCCATCCTCCTGCCTTAACCTCTCAAATGCTAGGATTATAGGCATGCACCAGAACACCTTACTTCCTAAACTTAACATATCAGTGGCAGGGGCACTGATTCAAGCTTTGGGTTCAATTTTTGTATGACAAATTTAAGAAACTCCACTCGTGACCAATGCAGCCTTAACAACCCCCAAGCCCTTCTGTAGGAAGTTACTCAGGCAACCTAAGTACAGGGTTTTTTGCCTGCATCCACTGCAGCTTTAGCCCTTTCCACAGGCAGACCATAGCTGAGTCTCCCATCAACTGCTCTGGGTTGTAGGGCAGCCAACTCTTCTGAAAATCCAACCTCACATCTCACAACCCCAACTTACAGATGTCTGAAGTCTGAAATGCCATGTCCATTTCATTCAGTTGCTTTGTGGGCTGCTTGTTCTAAGTAGCAATCATGGAATGGAAACCTGATGGACATCCTAGCAGTACAACCCCACCTAGCTTCCCCTCACCCTGCATGAAGTCCAGGGAGTTGCAAGCTCTACCTTTACTTGGCCACACTCACCCACCTGACTGAGCTCCTGCTCTCTGAAGAGCTTCCAGATGGGGGTTTTTACAGGATGGAACTGACAAACTAGGAGACACTACAGAGACATGAAATAAAGCCACCCCCCTCCCAATCGCAGGCCATTTGGAATGGAATTCAGCTCCAAGGAGAAACATCTACAGTCTCATCTACAGTCTTGTAACATGGGTCCCATTCAAGGAGAAAGGGTTGGCTTTTATCAGGCAAAAAGAATGAACAGTAAGGAATCAGACAAACCTGGCCTCAGGTCCAGGGCCCTGGCATGCCAAAGAGTCACTCCACTTTCCTGAATGAGAAAACCCCTGCCCCAGACCCACACAGAACCTAATCTCCAGCATATCCCATGGGGGAGGGGGTCCTGCTGAGAGGCTGAAATGTTCTGCAGTTACATCACGGTGATAGTTGTACAGCTCTGACAACATATCAAAAGCACCAAACATAATAGTGGGAAATTATTCTTACAAATAAATTTAGGCAATTTCATGTGGTACAAATGTCACAGATTATAGAAACTAAAATGGCTATGATAATGCTTAATCTTATGGGACCCTGGTATCTAACTGTCACCAAAACTTGGTTATGTAACACATGACTATACTTTCAATTAAAGAATTGCCTCTGTAAGACTGGCCTGTGGGTATATGTATGTGGGGCATTTTCTTGATGTAGGGGTGACCAGTCAATTGTGGGCAGTACTAACTCTAGGCACAGAAAAGAAGCTGTGAGTCTAGCAGCAGCAAGCCACTAAGTAGTGTTTTCTTTAGGTTTCTCCTTGAACTACCTGGTTTCCCTTGGTGGTGATAGACTGTAACCTGGAAGCTGTAAGCTAAAACAAACCCCTTCCTCTCCAAGTGGCTTTTGGTAATGGTGTTTGATCACAACAAATAAGCAAACTAAGACACTTAGGATGGAAAGCAAGAGAGATGAAGACTGGACTCCTCCTAGTATGCAAAGTACAGTTCTCTGGGTCTCTTGCTGCCCAGAGAGGAGTTCCAAGCACAAGGCCTCAGGGCTCTGAGAATTGTCCCTGGCATTCTACTTGGCTCTTAACTATTCATTATACAGTGCAATTGATCTAAGTCCAAAGCAGAACCTGGCAGCCTGCTGCTGATACAGGGCCCCTTGGCGGGGAGTGACAGCAAAATGCTTATCTCCTGGCCACAGCCACAGCTGAGTTCTTAGGGTAAGCTTAATTCTCTGGTTGAAACTGTCCTACATACTGCAACTGAGGGTAGCTAGCATACTACCATGGTCTTTCTGTTCCCCTGAGTGCTAGGCAGCAGGCATACTACCAAGTTCCAGTGCAGCAAAGCCAAGGAAAGAGGAAAGTGGAATTTTGAATCCTGAAATGTAGGAACCAGCCAAGCCAGCTCTGTACACATGTTCTTACGGGACTGAAGATCAGTACTGAGGGGATGAAGCAAAGGTGATGGAGAGGACAAGGTTTAGAGGGACTTTCTGACATGACTTTTTCCAGGTCTACACACCAACAGTTCTCCAAACTTTTTGTTCTGTGGACTACTTCCCCACCCCGCACCCCCACCCTGTAGACTTCTTTACACCTGACTATCGAGGCCTTCAAATAGACTTATCTGTGGACTTATTAATACCATATTAGAAATATCTCTTAAATAATGAAGAATTAATCCTGGCAGTGGTGGTGCATGCCTTTAGTCCCAGCACTTGGGAAGCAGAGGCAGGTGGATCTCTGTGAGTTCAAGACCAGCCTGGTCTACAAGAGCTAGTTCCAGGGCAGCCTCCAAAACCACAGAAAAACCCTGTCTCCAAAACACACACACACACACACACACACACACACACACACACACACACACAAATTTAATTTAAAACAAGTAATTCAAAGCTAAGGATGTAGCTCAGTGGGAGAGCAATTTCCTTGCATATGCAAAGTACTAGGTTCAATCCCCAACACCAAAAAGATTAAATGTCAAGAAACTATCAAGCTAACAGTGGCAACAAATCAGTTGCAAATTTAACTGTAATAGTGGCTCAGCATTTGGGAGGCTGAGGCAGGAAGACTGCTGTGAGCTTGAAGCTAAACTGAGGTATGGAGTGAGACAATGCCTCCAAAAATCCAAACCAGAGGCTGAAGAGATGACTCAGCAGTTAAGAGCACTTGTTGCTCTTAGAGAGGACCCAGGTTCAGTTCTCAGCATCCATATGGCAGCTCACAACCACCCACTTCTAGGGAATACAATGCTTTCTTTTGACCTTCACAGTGAAAGACCCCCACTATGCTTATTGCCTGTTTGAATTGCTCTTGCTAATTTGCCAAGGTCAAGTTATGAGAAAAGTACAGGAGGGAACCAGGTGCTGCTCTCATCCAACGCCAACCAGATATCTGTGGTCTGCAGCTTGGACCAAAGCAAGGCCAGCAGGACAGTATCCGGATGCTGAGAGTCATAACTGAATTCTTTGTATTCTTTGTGCCCAACCCGAATAACCAACTGTCCTTGGTTAACTACAACTGCTACATTTAGATGAAACAATGAAATCCCTGTAACTATGCTTCTGCTTCTGTAAGCCTGCTTCTTGCCACCCCAACCCTATATAAACTGCCTGAGTTTTAACCTCGGCACGCTCAGTCCCCCGAAAGACTGAAGCGTCCACAGGTACCTGTTAAGCAATAAATAACCTCTTGCACTTGCATCCAGTGGTCTGGTCTCGTCTCTTGGGGGCAAGGGCCTTCCCCCCTGACAGGCTCCAAACTCTTGGGGGTCTCTTGGGGATCTTTCAACAGGCCCCAGGCACACAGCACATATCAGCTCAATACTCATACACATATATAAATTTTATATTAAACAATCCAGACTAGTGAGCCATGAAGATGGCTCAATAGGTAAAAGTGTATGCTATGCAAATCTGGGAAACTGAAATTCAAATGATAGCAGGATCTCCTGCACAGGGTGACATGTAAATTCAAGACCCTTCTGTAGTTCTTTTCCTTGTTACTGTTAAACTTTATTAGTTGTGTTAATTTAATAACCATTTTCTTGTGAGAATGCTTTGTGTAAAGCTAATGGAAAAGGTTTCACCATACTCATTTTAGTAAGTTCTTGTTGCTATTAATTTTAAGAATTTTAGCATTTGTATACACACACCATGGCATGTGTGTGGTGGTCTGAAGACAACTCTCTGGAGTCAGTTGTCTCAATCCATTTTTAGGTGGGTTCCAGGGGTAGAACTCAAGTTACCAGGTTTGCACGTTAAGCATCTTTATCCAGAGAACCATCTTACTGGTTATCTATTAACTTCTGACTAATAAAAACCTACTTTAGCCAGGCACATGCCTTTAATCTCAGCACAAAGAGGAGGCAAGTGGATCTATGTGCGTTCAAGTCCAGCCTGGTCTACAGAATGAGTTCTGTAGGGCTATACAGAGAAATCCTGTCTCAAAACAAACATGCCTTTAAAAATAAAAAAGAGGCTGGACGTTGGTGGTGCTCGCCTTTAGTCCTAGCACTTGGGAGGCAGAGGCAGGTGGATCTCGGTGAGTTCTAGGCCAGCCTGGTCTATAGAGTGAGTTCCAGGACAGGCTCCAAAGCAATACAGAGAAACCCTGTCTCAAAAAACCAAAAAATGAATGAATGAACGAACGAACGAACGAATAAGGCAGGCGGTGGTGGTGCATACCTTTAATCCCAGCACTCAGAAGGCAGGCAGGCAGATATCTGTGAGTTTGAGGCCAGCCTGGTCTACAGAGTGAGGTGAGGTCCAAAGTAATACAGAGAAACCCTGTCTTACGGGGTAAAAAAAAAAAAAAAAGTAAAAAATAAAAAAGAATGATGTAAGGTGGCACACACCTTTAACCCTAGCACTCAGGAAGCAGAGTTGGTGGATCTCCGAGTTCGAGGCCAGCCTGGTCTACAGGCCAAGTCCAGATCAGCAAGGTTTCACAGAAAAACAGTCTTGGAAAAT